CTCTCTGTGTGTCCAACCTTCGACATAACCTGGTTTTATTATGTTCCAATCTGCAAAAGATTTAGACTCAATTTAAATTTAGAGTAAATGAATTTATTCTTATGGCCAGTAGGACAGCAGCCTTAGGGGCCAAACAGCATGCCTTGCTAAAGGGAGGCTTTGTAAAGGTGGATATCAAAGGTATCCATTGTAATTATCTGTGGAATCCACAGCTGGGCAAGGAAATCATTTTACTACCTTCAGTTGTTTCCTTCCCCACTGAAGAGTAATAAACGCGCCACTTCATCCTTGTCCCACAGGGAAAAGCAAGTTTACAAAAGCTGAAGGCAAGCGGTTAAATATCTCACAGTAGGAAAACCATTATCCTATTTTCATCTCACCGGCAGGCCACTAGGATCTCTCAGGCATTCTAGCATAAAGGTCAGCAGCCCTTAAGGGAGGCCTGGTGCCATATTAAATTTCTTTAGCTATCACAGGTGAGTTATGTGTAAATTATTACACAGGTTCTGAGCACTCTGCAGCAAGTGTCACTAATTCAGTGGGATAGAGCAGGCAATGACACAGTGCCACCAGGCTAAGACTGGCTGTTACAACCCATAGGTCCATGAAACATTTTAACTCTGCACAAATACAGCAAACATTTCTCATAGAACCTAGATATCTTTAAACAGAGAAAGACTGGAGGGAGAAAATGAATCATGGAATTTAAAAGTTCTGACATGAATGAGTGTAAGAATGTGAGCTTACCAGTGACAGCAGGAAGGGAAATAGGTAGCAGGATATTCCAGGTCGACTGCAGTAGTGAGGAAACCCTGAGGAATTTCTGTTGAGAGACAGCTGTTTTAGGACCATGAGGAGCAAAGGAGCCTGGAGACAGTTCTGAGTGGGGAGGGGAGTTGGGGATTTGATGGGCAGATATGGTGTAAATAAAAGTGTGGACTTTCTTCAAGTAGTTAATCTGCTAAGTCAGTGTTTGTAGATACTACCATGATTAAACCAAAATAGCCTTAATTATGGAACATACATAATCTAGACCAACATTTCCAATTTGATTAAGCAATCTGAAATTCATTTTTTAGATGCTGTAGCTTTACAAATTTCCTTTGAAATTAGACAATAAGCTGCACATGATGAGATACAGCCTTAAAACTAATCAACGGAAAAAAATCAAACAGTGAAATACAATGAAGTTTCACAGCCACTTTTACTTCTCTCCTTCGTATTTTAAAGTAGATGTAACTTGTGACTTGAGGGGTCATCATAGGGTCTTCTGAGACGCAATGTTCATCCCATGTTCAGGAAAACACAAATATGATTGATGTTGAAAAGCTGCAATGAAAGAGTATGCTTATTAAAATTGAAAGGGAAAGCCACAAACTCACTCCCTAAGGTGAAGAAAGGCTTGACAAGTGTGTGGCTAAGAGCCCTATTGTTATTTCCTGATCTCCTGGCTTTTAATTACACGGGGAGGGAAAGATTCTCTAAGGGAGTTCACCCTTCTTAGACTGACTTAGCAGTATGTCTACTGTGCCAGCAGGCAGCTGACGATCCTCACTCTATGATCATGTGAAGGAGACATAGTCCATAGGTGTTAGCTCTAAAGAGATTTGTGATGTTCCAAAGATCACCTTGGGACATTCTTTTTCTCTAGTGAATTCCCCATTTCTAGGGAAATTCTTTTCTTTTCATTAGAAATAGGCTTGTTTTCATATAATATTTTCTGAATATGGGTTCCCCTCCACCAACTCCTCCCAGATTCTCCCACCAAATCCATACCCTTTCTTTCTCCTTATTAAAAAATGAATGTGTATCTATAATAATAATAAGCAAATAAAACTCAAATAGGTCAAAATAAACAGAAAAAAGAGGCAACAAAAAAAGCACAAGAAAACAAACAAACAAACCAACAAAAAACTAACTTTTCCTTTCTAGGTGGTTATCAACTAGAGTTAGCTTCTGGGTTATGGATGGAGGTTTGTATCCATGCCCTCTAGTGAAATCCTTAACTGGATTTTGCTTTCTGATAGTAATCAGGTGTTTTACTCTTTGTTGGATCAACCTTAAATACTACATTCCAACTAATGGAAAATCTAAAAGAAGTGAATTAATTTTTACATACACATGATCTGAGAAATTAATCAAGGCTGAAATAGTTTAAGTTGTAGAACTAGCAGTGAGACTGAATCAATAATAACTATTAGACATTCAACTAAAAATTCGTAGGGCCAGAATAATTCACTGCAGAATTCCTGCAACATTTCAACAAAGTTCAACAAAAGGAGATTCTGGTCTCATTCTTTGATTACTTCCTGGTCATTAACTCTCCAGGCTTGGGTGATATTTTCTCCATTCAGCAGCAACTCTACATAACCTTCCTGACAGACTTTTGTAAACGAAAAAGCTATTTGGAAGGCACCGTCGACCAGAATCTCCTTCTACATTAGTGACACAGTATAGTCATTCTGTTTTCTCTCTCTTTCCTGTGTGGGAGATGGCCATAAGGAAATTTGCTGGCAAATGTTGCTTGTTAGGAAGTCAGAAGAACCCCAGAGTTTGGGAGGCAGAGGCAGGCAAATCTCTGAGTTTGAGGCTAGACTAGTCTATGGAGCAAGTTCCAGAATAACCAGGACTACCCATACAACCTCATTCCAAAAGGTTCTTGCTCCACACCAGGAAGAGTTAACTATACAGCTAAGATGTCATGAATTTGCACAGACAGGTAATGTTGGCTTCCTGCCTCTATTTCAATCTGCTGGAACTCTTTTTGTCCAATCATGCATGGTTCCTTACAGCTATCCATGCTTCTCAGACACAAGTTTCTTCTTCCTGTTATTCAGGTCCATCCTGAAACTGTTGGCAACACCCCAACAGCTGTCATTCTTCAGCTTCTCTTTCCAGTGGACTCTTGACACCATCAAATTCTCAGGGCACTGTAGGTCAGTACCTAGGCACTGTGCTTGTGCCCCAAACCCAGCTGGAACAATTTGTAAGAGTAGGAAAGTTGTCATTCCATGCCAAGGTTTCATCATTAGTGACTTAAAATCATGTTTCTGCATGCAATAATGTCTGTTTCAACTAGATTTTTCAAGTGTGGGAGATTATGGAGCAAGGTAAATAACCATAGGAGCAAAAACAAGTGTCTTTGCATCCCTGGAGAAAGAAAAATCATTAGATTCTGCCAGACAGGTGCATTTCCAAGGCTACTGATGGAGAAGAAAGATTTCTGTTCAGCAGGAAGACATTGAAAACAATAACATTCTCAACATGACTCTCCAAAGCATATAATTAGCTCTGGCAGAAATGAAAAGCCAGTTTAGACCAGCAGTTCCCAACTCTTTGTGTGTCAGCATCATCTTTTTAGAGGCACAGAAGTCTCATTGCCGATCCTATAAATAATAGGACCCACTAAGACAGGCATGCTAAATTGTTCCTGGCTTCCTTTACCCCGTAATTATGAGCAAGGTACCCCACCATGCATGGCCTGCTCGGCAAGAGGTAGGGGCAACCTGACCACCAGCAGTCACTAAATCTTCCCTGTTGATGATTCTTTAAAGTTTAGGCAAACTTGACACCACCAGCCCAGACCATCATTTACCCCCCTAAACCCTCTTTGTGTTAGACTTGCTCTCACCAGTGGGGTGAGTAGACTTGGCTGGTATTGCATTTTTAGAATAGTTTGTTTTAGTTTTACCTCCGTGGGAGGCTCTGAGCACTGCAGCTTACTGTAATACTCATTGAGGAAGAATCTAGGCAAGTCTGCTGATAATGACATAGTCACAAGCACTGTGACTTGCTCTGCCGTTAACTGCTCTTCAGTTTACCAATGATGGCCAAGGAAATAGGCAAACACTGAACGTATTAAGTCTCTTATTTAACTTCGTATACGACTTACTTTTGTTGTTGCATGGTTTATGTATTTGTTTGATAAGAAGATCCTTAATGTTTAATTATAAGATACCTGGGAATGCAGCTTAGTGGTAGTGTTCTTGCCTAGCATGTGTCAGGAGCTGGGTTCAAGCTCCAGAAAACAAAAACAAAAACTGAATGGGGTACAACGGAAAGCTCTCATAATTGTCACCAGGTTTATTGAGATGATTTGTATATTATAATAGTCTGAGAATGTAAATCAAATTGTAGCCTGGTTGTCTAGCAATTAGTATTTAATCTTAAAAACACTTTTATATAGTGAAGCGCCTCATTATAGTGGAAAAATCAGATACAGCAGTTTAATGGTAATGTTCTTGACATGAATTGATTAACAGTGGATGTTAATGACACGAAGTTATTTTAGGGTTAGATTTTAAACTTGTGCAACTGTCTCCACTCTGTGCTAAAGTGTTGATTAGTTTTAGTGAGATGCATCCATTCATGCTGAGAATTAGTGCTAATGTCCGAACAGAAATGGGTTTCTTCATTTTTGATGGAGACACTTTTCTCTTTAATCTGTAGTTTAAAATTTTCATTTGATGGAGGAATATAGATATCTTTTCTTAACCCATTTATATATAATTAAACCTGAATGAAAGCACATTTGTATACCCCATCAGAACATTATCCTGATAATAGAAAAACAACTATGTAAATAAAAATGAGTTTATTTTGACCCAAAATGTTCATTTTTTGCCATTTTTTTTACAATTCATTTTATAAATTCTGGAATAATACATTTTTGTTACTATGTAGCAATCTACCTTGCTATTTAGTATATATTTCTGAAAACATTTTTTTGAGTTAGCCAAATTCCATATGAACATCCCACAGAATCTCACTATTAGAAAGACTCATTTGTTACATACACTTGTATTTGACTCGTTTTGTGTGTCAAATTGGTATAAGTTAGAGTCATCAGAGAGGAAGCAGCCTCAGATGAGGAGATGTCTCCATGAGATGCAGCTGCAGGGCATTTTCTCAATTAGTGATCAATGTGGGAGGGCCCAGCTTATGGTAGGTGGTGCCATCCCTGGGGTGGTGATACTGGGTTCTATAAGAAAACGGGCTGATCAAGCCATGGTGAGCAAGCCAGTAAGGATCTCCCCTCCATGACTTCTACTTTCAGGATCCTGCCCGGTCCGAGTTCCTGCTCTGACTTCCTTCAGTGATGAACAGCAATGTGTAAGTTTAAGCTGAACAAACCCTTTCCTCCCCAACTTGCTTTATGGTCCTGGCATTTTTTTCACAGCAATAGAAACCCTAAGACAACACTTTAGTAAAATGAAGACTTTGCAATACAAATCTTCATCCTCAACTGTACCTTTGCTTGTGAGCGAAGTGTCTTCTTATTGGTTGGGAATGAATCTAGTGACCTTGGAATCACTGTACCTATTTTAATCTTGGTCAATATTTTCCAGCCTGTGAGACTTAGTGAATGTCTGTTGTGGGGAGGACTCATGCCCATTATTTACCGTGGCTACATCCTCTGAGAAGGCTTCAGAGAGAGATTGCCTGTGATAGAAATGCGGCATGGACCTGCCGCAACAGAAAGGGGTTGTCTTCGTTACTGTTCTATTGCTGTGAGGAGTTACCGTGACCAAGGCAACTTATAAAATAAAATAAAGCATTTAACTGGGGCCTTGTTTACGGTCTCAGAGGGTGAGTCCATGATAATCATGGGATGGAGTGTGTCAGTAGGAAAGTAGGAATAGTGCCAGAGAAACAGCTGAGTGCTCACACCTCATCCATCAGTTGTAGGTAGAGGGGGCAGGGACTGGGCCTCGCATAGGTTTTTGAAATCTCTAAACTGACCCCCTAGTGACGCACCTTTTCCAACAAAGGCATGAACCAAGCTGAATCATGGAAAATCATGAACTCTAGACTGACAGCTATGGGGCCTCAATGGGACCTAACTAGGCTGTCTGTATACAGGAGATAGTTGTGAAGCTTGGGCTATCTGTGGGGCACCTGGCAGTAGGGTCAGGATCTATCCCTGGTGCATGAGCTAGCTTGTTGGAGGCCATTCCCTATGGTGAGATACCATGCTCAGCCTTAATGCAGTGGGGAGGGGCTTGGTCCTGCCCAAACTTAATGTGTCAGACTTTGTTGACTCCCTATGGGAGCTCTTACCTGTTGGGAGGAGTGGATGGGGGGTGTGGAGAACTTTGGTTGGAATAGAATGTAAAATTAAAATAAGAAAAAAGACACAAGGCTTTCATCACTCTATTCTTCTGTATACAGGTGTCGTCACATATTTGGGCTTCCCTTATTTCTAACATCATGATCCAGAAGGGTATACTCATCCCAGTTGATGCCAAAGACCCTTGGATACCTGGTGACTCATCAGGTTAAGTCATAAATGATTTCTCTGGGCTGTGACATGGACCCAACCTATGAGAGGGTGGTGAGGAATGATGTTATTTGTCAACCCTACTAGTATATGGTACTGTGGTAGGGAGAAAAAAGTCAGCAATTACCACAAGGTATAAAGTCAATTGCAAAATCAAAGCTATCATGTAGCAAGTTGTCCTTAATATGAGAGTAATGTGAGAAATAATATAAATTAACACAATTTCCATAATGATAGGTTTAATGGGTTAACAATTCAGGAAAATGCTCCAATAAATCTTTTTATCAAATTACTTAGCCAAGTCCCATAATACCTTTGTGAATAAAGTAAGTATTATGGACTGTATGACAGCTCTTTGCTAAAAGATTAATTTGAACAATCTGTATTCAGTCTTTCCTGAGGTTTAAATAAGCATTCCATAGAACTCAATCTTTGCCCTGGGAAACATGTCTCTAAGTAACGAAGGCAGTAATTCAATAAACGTTCACTAAAAGATCATACAGGCAGACATTCTTCTACACTCTGTGAGACAAAGCATAGACGACTCATTATCTTCTCAAGGACCTCATTATCTGTCAAGGTAGATAAACACATCATCAGGTAACCCCCTTGAAAGAACATTATTTTTGTGATAATTTTGTTTTGTCAAGTTGGCACATGTTAGAGTCATCTGGGAGGAGGGAACTTTAATTCAGATAATGCCTCCAGTAGATTGGCCTGTGGGCAAGCCTCTGTAGGATTTTCCTAACGATTAATGTGGGAAGACTCAGCCTATTGTAGGTAGTACAATCTCTAGGCAGGTGATCTTGGCTTGTTAAAAGCAAAAACCAAAAAAATCCGTTGAGTGAATCATGGTGAGCAAGCCACTAAGCAGCATTTCTCCATGGCCTCTGTTTTAGTTCCTGCCTTCTGTTTCCTGCCCTGACTTCCCTTCATGATGGGCTAAAAGCTGACAACTGAATAAATCCTTTCACCCCTAGATGCCTTTGGCCATGGTGTTTACCACAGCAATAGAGAACAAACTAGGACATCTCTTGTTTTTTTATACCCCTCTCCCAGACTAAACAAACTAAGCAGCTGTAACTGAATTCTCAACAGTGGCAGCTCTTGGGCTGACTCTTGAAGTGGTGTGAAAAGCAAGAGAAACATTCCAGGCAGAAGCATGGGCCTGAGCCGTAGAGTAAGAAGAGCAATGTATGCTTAGGATCTGCAAGGAGTTTTGTAGTTAAATCTCTGGGAAGATTTTTAAGAGCCAGAGGCAGTGGACTGTTTGAAGTAAAGTGTTTTCTGCATATAACAGGGAGTGTGCACATATAACTCGCAAAGACTGTGGCAACATGTACATGATCAAGCCAAGCAAAATGCTTAGAGAAAGCGAAACTCCTCACCAAGAAGCTGTTCATAACAGGTGCTGGGAGAGGAAAGACCAGTTTTCTCCAATGGAGTGTCACTGGGCATATCAGCCATGCTCCATAGAGCCCCCATGCTCCATAGAGCCCCCATGCTCAGGAATAGCTGGCCAAGACAAACTATACTCCATAGTTTGTTATTGTGGTGGACTCTTTTTTTTTTTTTTAGAGAGAGACTAAGAAAATGATGGGTGGGTAACGAGGAAGGACAGGATCTGGGAGGAGTTGTGGGAGGGGGGAAATATAATCAAAATATATTAGATGAAATTATCAAAGATTAAATAAAAAATTAATATTAAAATGCAGATAGATCATAACCCAGTAAATTAAAATAGACTGTATGCTTGCAGCTAGCATTGTTGGTTTGAGGCAGTTAGATTGTCAAACTGCCCCGTGAGACATAGGAGGAGCCTGGTGCTTGCCCAGGAGGCTTGGTAGCCAGATGCATTTCCAAAGATCCTGTAGTTTAGCCATAGTATAAAAGCTGACGAAAAGCACCCCAACTTGCTCCAATAATTGAATTCCATTATTACCCTCGAAGAAGGAATTTCTACACAGCTATGCTGAGGCAGAAAGTGGAGGGTGAAAATTGTATGTTGTCAGACGCCCAAAAGTTCTTTGTATAACCACAGGGTGCACATCAACAACTATGTTTCAAACAGCTGAGCTCTGGAATGTGGTGGTTTGTGAGAATTCTCTTGAACTCTGTATCCTGCAGACAGGCACAGAGAAGGCAAGGAAGTAGGAATTCCGGGGACAAACCTTCTCCTCCTCAGACTAAACTCTTGGTGTGATAGACTAGAGCAGAAAGAGTAAGGGCGGAAGGGTACAGCTGGTGATTCTGGCCAACTGCTAAATCAAAATACACACACATACACAGAACCAAACAGCAAACAACACACCACACACACAGACACCACACACACACACACCCCACATACACACACATACACAGAACCAAACAGCAAACACACCACACACACAGACACCACACACACACACACCCCACATACACACACATACACAGAACCAAACAGCAAACAACACACCACACACACAGACACCCCACACACACACACCCCACACACATACACACACCACATATGTACATATACACACCACACAACACATACACCATATACACACATACACATAACCACACAATAAACATACCACACACATACACATACCACACACATATACACACCACATATAACACACACCATACAGACATACACCATACACACAGACACATGCCACAGCACACACATACATATACATACCATACATACACTATACACACATACCACACACCCACATTATACATACCACACACTAACACACATACACCACATACCACACACACGCCCATGCGTGCACACACACACACACACACACACACACACACACACACTCTCTCTCTCTCTCTCTCTCTCTCTCTCTCTCTCTCTCTCTCTCTCTCTCTCTCTCTCTCTCTCTCTCTCTCTCTCTTTTCTTAAAGAAGGTTCTTCCTTTCACCCAGGGAAACTTTTAGCTATGTGCTAAATGAGAGTCTGTGAAAACAGTGTAGCAGGGAAATGTTAAGAAACAATAAAATACCCAAATCACTATCAGACTCTCACCATCCTTCATATAATCTTAAAAAACAAAACAAAACAAAAAACTAGCCTACAATAATAAATCCTGACTAAAACCTTAGTAAAAAGGAATGTGGTGGTAGGGTATCCTGTGTGAAACTTTTTGATGCCAGAAGGCTTGGCCAAAGTCACCCAGTATGAATTCTATTGTTCAGAGAAGTGACCTGGCTTTTCCCAGATAGCCACGTGATTCCCTGTGTGTCCCTGTGAGACTTGTGCAGAGGAGGCAATCGCAAGCAGACCTGGAATGTCACCCCCTAGCCACTGAGAGAGAGAGCAAACAGTGTTTTCTGCTAAGATGTTTGTGGTAATACTGCACACAACAACAGAAAGCTAATACACACTTGGACACCGGTCCTGATTTTCAACATTTATACACACCAAGAGAGCTAGAGAAATAAACACCATTTTAAATAGGACATGTTAAATTTAAGACTGAAGAAAATTGAGAGGTGGTTTCCAGGAGGAAAGAACAAGGGAAAAAAAGCTCATAGTGCAGGGAAATCTTCCCGATCCCTACTCAGGAACTAATCTGAGGCAAGGGACTGTGATGGTGAATAGTATTTATTAGTGCCATGGAATCCATAACCACCCGAGAGATGGACCTCTGGACACGGCTATGGAGGATTATCTTGATCATGTTAATTGAGATGAAAAGTGGTTTAATTAGGGTTTCTATCACTGTGATAACGCATCATGAACAAAAGCATTTTGGGGAAGACAGAATTCATTTCAACCTACATCTTGTAGTCAGCCCATCATCCAGACATGTCAGCATAGGAACTGAAGTTAAGAACACTGAGGCAGGAAGTCGTGCAGAGACCATGGAGGACTCATGCTTACTGACTTGCTTCTTCCTGGTTTGCCCAGTATGCTTTTTTACATCACCCAGGACATCTTGCCTAGGATTGGCGCCACCCACAATAGGTTGAGGTCTCCCTTAATCAGTAGTTAAGGAAATGCAGTGACAAGCCCCCCCCCCTTTAGCAGCCATGACAGGCTAACATGTGCTTGCATGACCTTGCCGCTCATGTCCTGGTCATTAGGAGGTCAGATGCCCTCCTTGTGGCAAGGAACCAATCAGAAGTTAGCTAGCGGGACTGTGCTTTACAGCTCTGGGTGTGCTTTACAGACAAGTGCACAACAGTGATGTGCAAAGCATAGCAACTGCACTGGGAGGGCCTATGGGTCATAACAACCATGCATGGCCCAAGTGCCTCCTGACTGTTGATGCAATGCGGGCAGATGCTTTAAGCTCTTGCCACATTAATGTCCACGCCATGATGGGCTGTACTTGAACTGTAGCTGACTAAATCCTTTCTTCTGAACTTGGTTTTGTTAACATGTTTGATCGTAGTGACAGGAAGAGGAATGGAGACAGGAAACAGCGAAGCTTTCTTTTTGGAAGGGGTTGGTTTTTCAAGACAGGGTTCTCTGTGTAGCTTTAGAGTCTGTAACTGGAACTCACTCTATAGACCAGGCTGGCCTTGAACTCATAGAGATCCACCTGCCTCTACCTCCCAAGTGCTGGGATTAAAGGTGTGTACCACCACTGCCCCATGGGAGAAGTATTTCAAATGGAGCAGTAGGCAAAGCTGATTTGCAACATCACGCCACTCCAGCACTCTGGTAGATATGAGTTTTGATTTAAGTTACAAGTTAGGTGTACATTTTTAGTACAACATTTTAATGTGAAATTTAGATTTAAAAGAAAGTTTAAAGTTGAGATAGATGTAACTGGGTTAGAGAGGTTGGGAACTAGAATTTACATTAAGGTCCTGAGCAGATTCTAAGGTCCTGCATATGCACCCTTGTGGTGATATATTGTTTATGATCTAATAAAGCCACTGGAGATCAGAAAGCAAAGCCAGCCATACTAGTTAGTTATAGAAAATAGATAGTGGTGGTACACACATTTAATCCCAGGACTCAGGAGAAAGGCAGATAGATTTCTGAGTCCAAGACCACCCTGGGCTACCAGAGAGTGAATCAGCTCACTAATTTAATCCCAAGATTTGAGAGGTATAAAACGTGGAGGCATTCAGTCTCAGGATTAGTCTCTAGCCACATTGAGGAGAACATAGCAGTGTGGGATTGTAGTCTGAGGTTTGGTAGAGCCAGGATTGCCTACCTTTCATTCTGAGATAGAGTTAAGAGTTCCTGGCTGGCTGCTTTTCTTTTCTGATCTTCAGCTTGAAGTTTGAACCCCAATATCAGTCTCTGGGTCTTTTATTTATTGTGCTGCATACCCTGACTTTGGTGATTGAAGAAAAGAGATCTAAACACTGAATCTTCTGATTTATATGACAAAAGGTGAGTGACAATACTAAAACACTGTTTCAAGACATAAAATCACTATTTTCATATAGACTATAAAAAGCACATACGAAAAGCCTTAATAACATTAACTTCTGTAATTTACTAATGCATGTAAATAGTGAGATGTTGTAACTGGTCCAAGAGGTAAACTAGAGACTGAAGTTGTCAGAAATACTGAGATGAACTTACAACATCCCAAAGTACAATAAAATGTGTTGCATGGTATTTTGCTTGTTTTCTGACAAATAAAGCTTTCCTGGAGGTCAGAGGGTGGAGCTAGCCACTAGTTAACCATAGAGGTCTGGAGGTTTGTACAGAAAGGAGACAGGAAATGATAAGGCAGGGTGGCGAGAGGAAGTGATAAGGAGGGGGCAGGACAGGATCTCTGCCCTTTCAATATGAGGATTCAGAGAGGTAAGTGAAAGACCCCGAATTTATAGAAATAAAATATAAGCTTAAACAGGGAGGGCACCCCAGTAGAGAACTTGGGAAGCGAACAAAGGACCCCATCCGAGGAACTGGCCAAACCACAGAATGGAATGTATGGTTTAGCAACCTTAATTGCAGAAGGGCTGTAAACCCACAAAAGGTCATTCCGGGCTGCTGACCACCTGTGAAGAACTTACCTGGGCGTCAGAGATGGGCAAACAAGATGGAAACAAGGAGATGATAACCACAATTTACTTAGGGAGAGATGATTAACTCATACCAAGGTTTGAGGAATTTACAACGTGTAGGTCAGGAAGACATCTGCTTCCCCTGGTCAGTAGTCACGTACCCCCCCCCAATCACAAGATAGGGACCCCTCCCAAAGGCTTGTGGTTTTGTCTTTAAAAGCTGATTGTAACTGAACCTCGGGGCCAATCGGTCTAAAAGCTGACCGAGAGGCCCATCTGCAGATGCCTAATTAAAGCCTCTTGCATATTGCATCAATTGGCGCGTGGACTCTTGATTCTTGGGGTGACGAATCCAGCTTGGGGACCCCTCCTCAATTCGTGGTACCCCAACAGTAAGAAGTCACTGGTGGCTGTTTCTCTGCCTCTCTCGTCTTTCAGCATTTACCCTAATGTCTGACTCTGGGTTTTTATTGATAAGACTAATAGGCTCACACTTTAAAAATGAACTGTTAGGAATAATCAATTCTATAGATTGAAAATCAAACTTTTCAAAATGTATTTGTAACTCTGTGTCTTGGTTTTCTTCAATTTGCCGAGCTGTGAAACAGAGATTAGAGTACAAGCAAATGCTCACACCTGACCTGGTGTTGCACCTAAAGAGCCTTCATTAATCTCTTCTTAGTTTGAGTTTTCAAGTTTCCTCTGCAATAGTGTAAAAAAAATGCATCCAGAAGGAAAAGTTCAGAAAGGGATTAGTGGCAGAAAACTCCATATATCCTGGAGAGAGTAGAGGAAACAGGGGATACAGGACTAAACCCCTTATTAGGGTCTTTTTTTTTTTCCAACTCCAGACTGGAATTGGTTTTATGTGGTAGAAACTTCAAATTACTAAGATAGCAAGAAGACAAAAAAACAAAACAAAACAAAAAAAACCCTTTCCCCAAGCATAGCCTTAGGGAGGCTGCAGGCCTACAGGAGAATTAACCTATTTGTCCCAGCACTTGCATACAACATTAATAAAGAGAGAGAGCGCAAACTAAAATATTTGAGAAGAAAGATTAAATATGCAAGCCCGAGGCTATACTCCTGGCTCCCTGTGCCCCGTGACTGAAAGGCAAGGGTTGATAACAAGTGACCTTTCCACCACTAAAGATGCAGAAAATGCTAGAGGACAGGGTCGCTGGCCGCATGCTGTCATAAAAGAGACGTGAATATGCTGCACACGTGTGCTTCTGTCATGTCTAGAACTTGCTAGACATTTTTCTTTGGCTATTCCGATGTGGACTGGTCTTCTTACTTTACTATGTTTGTTTTTAGAACCAAAACTATAACAAAAGGCATGTTTTGGGGAATTACGTTATAATTTATAGTCTCCTACATTCTTCCTAAGATAGCTGTTCTCTGTTGTCAATTTGACTGAATTAAGGAAAACCTAGAGGATGACAGGATGTGTCTGTGATTATGTTTCCACAGATGATTGGCACATGGGCTAGCAGGCCACTAGGAAAAGCCCACTCTGAATGTGCGTATCAACGCCCAGAAGCAAGGAAAGGTAAGTGTAAAGGCAAGGGCAAATAGCAAGTACTTAGGCCAGACTCTCCTTGACCCAATGCCTTCTATTTTTCCTTGCTGATGCCTTTGTGCACAGACATCAGATTCCAGGTTCCTCAGCCCTTGAGCATGGACTTGTACTAGTGACTCTTGGTTGGTTCCAGTCCTTCAGTTTCAACTGTGGTCTTCTTCATAATGTACACTCGTGGTAGACAGCAGTGGCAAGGAGCAATGTTATCATCCACCTCATTAAGAGTATGACAAAGCATACGAGGACTATTTGGGTTGTTATATTGGTGGTGGTTTGTTTATCTGTTCTCTTACTCTATGAAGGGCAAAAATTGTCTTACTGTATTACTTGCAGATTGATTGACATAATCACACTCTAAGTAATCCACAATGGCTGTTTACAAGCTGCAGAGATGGGCATAACAGTAGCTTCTCAATCTATGAGGCTGGAAGCCTCAGAACAAGAGAGATCAATGATATAACCACAGTTGGTTGTAGACCGGACACCAGGTGGAGTCCTCCAGGTGGAGTCTTCATGTCCTTCCTGAACAAGACAACATCAAGGCCCCACATGATAGCCACTTAGAGACTTGTCCAGGGTTTGTCTGGGGCGTCCTAATTCATTAAGGGCAGGATAAACAGAGGCAGGCCTCTGTCTGCCCACTTCAGATAAAGTGGGACTTTCAGGAATGGAGGCATCAGGAATTCCTGGGGTACACTTGAAACTATCAAGCAATGGGCTCTCAACCACAGATGGGAAGAACTGAAGCTGTTTGTATCCACTGCACCATTAGTAGGCTGAAGTCACCTCTCTGCATGGCAGAGAGATTCAATGGGACCAGTCTCCATAGACTTGCATGATTTTTGTTTTGCTCTACAGACAGGAACAGACATCTTCAAGATCCTTCAAGCTCCCCACTAGCTTGGCTCTTGGGCAGCTAGAGCAATGTAACCCCCAAGGGCTTAGAAAGAAATCTTAATCTTTTTGTCAACCATGCATGGCCCAAGTGCCTCCTAGGAGATTGTGAAGATGTGTTACAGGGAGAACTCTTAATTATAATACCATCCTCCAATTGGAACTGCTCTATGAATGAGAAGGAACATACTTGGAAGTTCCTCATATGCAACTTTTTCTTTTAACGTGAGACCACCCCCCAAACTTACGACTTCACAGAAACTTAGTGTGAGTATACACTTGTAGGAAGTTACTCACCCCAAGACTAACCAGGGAGACTTCATTTGTCACTGGTAAAGAAGATACTTCTGTAAGTTTGATCCTGCTCAATCTTAAGTGCACACCACCACATACCGATGACCTTGTTCAAAGTACATCCTGTTGAAAAATTAGGTATCCTGGATCTGTCCCTGATGCATGAGCTGACTTTTTGGAGTCCATTCCCTATGGTGGGGTGCCTTGCTCAGCCCCTATACAGGAGGAAGGGGCTTGGTCCTGCCTCACCTTGATGTGCCAGACTTTGTTGACTTCCTATGGGAGACCTTACCCTTTCTGAGGAGTGTATGGGGGGTGTCATGGGAAGAGGTGGGGAGGATTGGGAGGAGGGCAGGAAGGGTAACTGTGGTTGGTGTGTAAAATGAATAAAAATTAAAAGAAAAATGAAAAACTCTCACCAACATGACTGCCCAAACATGAACTAAACAAGGAGGACACCAACTAACATACAAAAAAAAGTAGGTAACAAATTTGAAGTGAAGAATCATTTTAATATAAAATAGCACTTCTATGTGTACATACTTATATATTCATGAGGTGATATCCAGATAAGTGTATATTAATATCTCTTACATTTATGCATTTTCAGAGAAAAATTTAGAAAACTGCTCAGCGTGTACTGTGAACATACATATAAGTGTGTATGTATGTGAAACTTTATAAAACTAGTTTTTCCCTAAGGAGATGCTTGAGAAAAAGCTGATTCTCCTGAAATGAAATTTCAAGCTATACTAAATGACGTTATTATTTATTTATTGTTTGGAATATTTAATAACACATGTGTACTGATTTTATAAAAAAATGACACAATTTAAAAATGCCAAGAATACCCTAAAGACTACAAAATCCTTCATGGATATTGCAGCATAAGCCGTCTAAGAGGTAAGGGGAATGGCCCCGACACAGCGATCATGTATCCCCTTATCAATTCAATCATTCTTTGAATAATCTCTCACTGGGTAGTGGATGCTGTGGCAAATAAAACGTTGAGCAGAGTAGAGAAGTTTCTAACACTAATGCACAAAAAGCTCTGGCCAGCCACTTCCAGGAGCCTAATGGAACCTAATGCTGCATTTGCCTCTGTGTATGTGTGTGTGTGTGTGTGTGTGTGTGTGTGTCGGGAGTGAGCAGAGGGAAGCCGTCGCTACACAGAGAACTCTCTGTTCTTGGGGTTGGCTTCTGCAAACAGAAAGAGCCTGTGAGAGTTTCCTGGATGGATACTGGAAGGCACCCAAAGGCCCTGATTAGGTTACCATGTCCTTCTCAGAGTCCCGGACCCGGGAATCTCTCACTATACCTGTTACATGTTTCATTCATAAGGAATGCTGTGCTTCTGTAGTGGCTTCTGTGTAAGCAGGTGTGCACTTATACATACCTATTTATGAAAAGCAGTCTTTTTTCTTTTTTTGCTTTTTTGAGACAGGGTTTCTCTGTGTTGCTTTGGAGGCTGTCCTGGAACTTGCTCTGTAGACCAGGCTGGCCTCGAACTCACAGAGATCCGCCTGCCTCTGCCTCCTGAGTGCTGGGATTAAAAGCGTGTGCCACCAACGTCCGGCTGAAAAGCATTCTTGATGTATTGCACATTCGAAAGTAAGTGAGCAAGCTTATTTCCAAACCAGGGAAACTTCAGGTGGTCAAGACAGTCTGAAAACATGTTCCTGATGTCAGAATGATAGGCTATCTAGCCATTGGGAATATTGGGAAGGGATCATCACCATGTAAAGACCAGGCTTATTTTAACCTCATTCTTTGAAATAACAAGGTTTTCTGTGAGACCCTCTTGGGTAGCTAGGAGAACTTCTCTAACTTGATGTTGACTTTGGTTTCTAAAGCTGGTGTCAACACTTCTTAGAAGCAAGAGATCGTGTTAATCTATAATGAAGACTCTTGTTGCTAATTGAAGACTGTTCAGAATTGTTACCTTTTCCCAAAGAAAACACAATTTCCAGAAATTTTTATTACTGGTTTCCCAGATTTCAAAAAACACAACATTTTAATTATATATATATATACACACATATATATAATATATTTAATTCTCGAAGAGCTTTAGAGTAGAGGTTCCATATCTAATCTTGGTCACCTTTCATAGTGCCCACCTGTGGCCCAATCCCCAGTATAAGGTTCTGTACAACCTCAGCATCACGGGGGGGGGTTAAGTTTCCACACAGGAACCTCCAGGAACACACTCAGGCCTTTTCCAAACCACAGCACCAGACAGGGCTGGACTGTGCCATCAAATGAAGACTTTCTCTTCTGTTCTTCCCTCTCCTTTTTCAAAGAAGAAATAGATATTATACAATGTGCTTAGTCTTCATGACGAAAAGGGCTTACAAACAGTAAGTGAAACAAGAGCCCTGAGCCCCCTGGAACATGAAGCAGAGGCTGTAGACTGAAGAAGAGACCGATCCTTCATGGAGACCTTTCATGGTCCTGTTCTCTTGCCTCACTCACTTATATTGGGGCAGATTGAACCCACACTGACTTTCAAATTTAATCTTGCTTGTGCAGCCTTATTTATTGTAAGCTATTGGGTGAGGCAGCATTTTGGTTATGGTCCAAGGACAGCCAGCCAGATTTTCTTGGAGAAACAGGCCGAGGTTTAGAAGTAGTATATTTTTGTGTTCCAGAATAAAACTAGTGGCCAAGACCCTGTTTGTAATGTGCCCATTGCTGTATTGTGACCTAAGTCCTTCCTCCTCTGTTAACCAGAAAGCAGTCACCTCCCACCTCCCTGCCAGTGTTCAGAGGGACAGCAACTGTCAGTGTCACAGACCTCCGTAAGCAATCTCTAACAGGCACACTTAAAATAACACCCATCACCCCTTCCTTCCACAAACACAGTGAATTCAGAGCTCTCAGGTTGTCACTGTATTCTAACAAGGCCTGGCATCAAATATTTACTCAATGCAAATGAGACACTGTTCTAGAACAAGAAGTAGGTCTTTAATTAGTGTCAGACAACCAGAAGTTTTAACTAAATGGCCAGACCCGTATCTACTATAGCCAATCAATTTGACAGTCTTCCTAAAACAGGAAGTTTGGGCCAGGTTGAGAGGTTCAGGGAGTAAAGGAGCTTGCCACCAAACCTGGCAACCTGAGCTGTCACACACATACATACACATGTAACACACACTAAATACATAAATACACTAAATACAGTCCTACTAAAATCTCATACTTTATCAAGAATTTTAATAGATATAATCTATATGATTGAGTTCATTTATTTTGACTTTTTTTGTTTTTTTGGAGACAGGGTTTCTCTGCATTGCTTTGGAGGCTGTCCTGGAACTAGCTCTATAGACCAGACTGGCCTTGAACTCACAGAGATCCTCCTGCCTCTGTCTTCTGAGTGCTGGGATTAAAGGCATGTGCCACCAACGCCAGGCCATTTATTTGGACTTTTATCAATGAGACCTTTCTATGAACACCTACTAACAGCACACACGTTTTCAGCAGAAGCTTGCCTGGCACCCCCTGTGCTGATTTCCAGGCCTTTGTTCTGATCTGAGCTGATGCTGGCAGAGAGACAAGTGCTAGCCAAGTCTGGAGGATTCCTGCTCCTGACTGAATGCCAGTGATGAAGCCTGCAGCGTGACTTCTGATTAGGGCCACAGACTCCCCTGAGAGTCACTTAAACTAATTCATGAGTGATCCTGCAGGGTCTGTGCTGAAGTTTTCAATTACGACACTCATAACACCCCATGATTACGGCCTAGATTGCTTGCTAGGAACCTCACTGAGATCATCCACATTCTTGGAGTAGTCCATCGGCTGGGCAGCAAGAACCATATGCAGAATGAAAAGTGATATGTTGCAAGAGCCCCTTTAAAGCAACATCACTACTTCTAAACTGAATAAAATGGTGTTGGTGTTTTTGTATTAGAATTGGTGTTCATTCATATTCTACAAGAGTAAAGCTTTGGCTTATAAAATGGTCTAAAATTTAATATACTGAAGCACAGCATATATACCTAGCTGCTTAATTTGTCTAATATTGCTTCAGAGAGCATGCTTAACAGTTATCTGTGAAATATGAGTCCTTTGGGAATTATTTCCCACTCAGAGATACATAAACATTTATATTGATGCTCTCTTCCAAAACTAAAATCTCCCAATAAACAAATCATGTCACTTTTGGCCACTTTTTTTTTTTAAATGAGAATGAGAGTTGAGAATGCTTTTATGCTGTGGTTCAGCAAAGCCAGAGAAAAATGCCACTTTCACTGTCACAGATAAATGACTTCTATCATCCCTGGGCAATATGGCAGATGACTGTGTCTGTATCTCCCAGTGACAACTGTGTTTAAAGTCTGCTCCAAAATGAGAAGATAAATTGGATTCATTGTATTACATTTATTATGAAATGTGACAGGGCAGTCTTTGAATTTGAATACTGCATATTTTTCTGTCTTTCTGTCTGTCCCTCTTTCTTTTAATGGGGACTCAGCATTAGTAGCCCTGGCTATCCTGGAACTCTGTATAGACCAAAGTAACTTTGAGTTTGCTGCCATAGTGCTGTCTCCACCTCCCAAATCTTGGAGTTAAAATCAACCACCATTCCCCCCACACAGAAATTGTTCTATTTGGTGGAGTTCATTAATGAGGCTTGTGGATTCACCTCTTCATGAATGAATCCTGCTGTGTAAAGCCTACTAAGAGACCATAATTATATCTGTAGACATTACTCAGACTGTCTGCTTTATCACTGGCAGGGAAAATACAAAGGATTATGAGAGCTAGTGCTGAGTGATTTTATGTAAGACTGGATGGAGGTCAAGGCAAGCATAGCTAGTAGGATTGCCAGAAAAAAAAAAACCCAACCCACAGGATTCTCTGTTTTATTTCAATGTGAGGCAAATAAGAAAGGCTTCAGTTTGTTTTAGATTAAATGTGTTTCATTCATGCATACATGCACATACTGAAATAAATTACCTCATCTACTCAAAACTGAATTTGAATTGTACAGCCTAGATTTTTGTTCATAAATGTGGCAGCTAGGATGGAGTTGAAGAATGTGGGAAGTTCATATTCCAGCTGAATCTGAACTGTGAATATTGTCTTTTAAAAGGAGTGGTCCTAAATGAAAGCCTCCTTAAGAAATAGTTCTGAACTGAGATTCAGAGCCTTAAAACGAAACAAAAACAACACAGGTCTTTATTTGTCTGAGAAAGGAATACCTCAGTTACTTCAAAAGAGTGACTTGGCAATTAGAAGGGACTGAAGTGGATGGATGCTGAGATGTGGGGTGTGGGTAATTTGTAGACTGCCTTGGATTTAGGGAGGCTATATCTTAG